GCATCAGAAGGCCCTGATCTTTCCTAGGATATGCTTATAAACTCAGCATAAGTAATAAAAAATAATAATTGCAGTTGCTTTGTGATCCTGAATGAATCACCTGGACTAGAAGTCAGGGAGGTTACTTATTTCATCAGAATAGATTACAGTCAGTCTCACTGAGAGGATGTTAATGTCTTCATGATCTCTGCTGAAACTTGCTGTTACAGTTAGGTAACTTGTAAACTATTTTATAGCTGAGGCTGCCAGTTCTATTTTTACTCAAGTGATAGAAATGTGTGGCCCAGCATGGTGTTTAGAAAAGTTTGGGTAAGTCAGATGAATTGTACCTGTTACAGCTGCTCAACCTACTGCTTATAGTCTAGTAGTTTCAGTGCAGTGAAAATAACTGCAGCCAAGGATCATTTGGGAAGGCATTGGCAAAACTCGATGGAAAGAGGAGGACAAAATATTTTCTTGCCATCTGCACTTACCCGAGACAGCTCTCTAGGGTAAGAAAGGCAGGAATGTAATAATGAGAGTAACAGTTCTGGCCAGAGGCTGCTGTCAGCTCCAGATCCACTTAAGGCTATTGCAAAGGCTGGGTGGAATGATCATTAAACTGACATCTTGGCTAGGGGCACCAGGATGTCTTGCTACAGCTTTGGCTAAAATTGACACTGACCAGCATGTCACTTTTCATTTGACCTAGCTCATAATTGACAAGATCTGTTTTGATCAAATGATGAATTTTAGTTTCAGGGGGGTCACAATATATCTTCTTTGCTTAGGCTGGGTAAAGCTTCGCTCTGCAAGAAGTTACATTGGAATCAGCAGGCACTTTTCAGAGGAGGAGCTATTAAAAAAAGTGTGTCTGGTCGAGACAGTGGCTGTTTGTAGCTGTAGCGTTGCTATATAAGCCCTGAAAATCAACAGGATCCAGCTGGCTTCCCCACCATTTCCTTTTGCGTACCATAGGCAGGGCAATCTGGTTCTTCCTATTTCTTACCCGAGCGCCCTGGGCTGGGACCTAGGCAAATATATCTTGTACATACTGTACTGCTGCGACATGCAGAGTTTGCAGGGCTGGAACTACATCTTTGTCATTTTACTTTAGGCAACAAGGGCCGAATAGCTGCACTCAATAGACTGTGTGCCACATCTGTTTCATTCTTTATCTCCCTTATCCTTTTTTTGTCCCTGCATTTGCTGGTTCTCCTTCCAGTTTAATGGTTTTATTAGGCAGGAGCATTAGAAGGTGCTTGAGAACACAGTGATAAACAAAGCAAGCAAAACACAAACCTAGTTGAAAATTGACCTTTATATTGGCAGTACAAACAATGGAGATCTGGGTGGGTGTTAATGCCAATCCCTAATGCATCCTTAATGCTGCTTTCAGGGCTGTTGACAAAGGAAAGAAATAAATTGCCATTTATAAAGGTCATAGGATACCATGGTAGCACTGTGATTTTTTTAAAATGAGTGATATTAAAGTAATAGGCATTGATACTTAATCAGTACTCTTGGCATTAGTTACCTGGCCGTGCTCTGCTCTTTAAGTGGGTTCTTCTGAGTGTTTGGTTTCCCTCCTGCTAGTGCTGCTTGAACAGCACCACAAAACGCTGGGGCAGGACTTCGGGGCAAGTTAAGCCAAAAGGGTCTGTGGGCCAAGTAAGATGTTATCTTACTTATCACTCAGGGACCTAGAAGAGGTTGAGGGTGCTGGCAATACCTCGTGTTGCAGAGTACTCCACGGATGGGTTCTGCAACTCCCCCTTCCCCACCTCTCTCCCCCTCTATGAAATAAAAAAGATTGACTATATTGCAGTGCTTGATCGTGTCTTGACATAAAAAACATTGGGATTCTGAAAGATTCAGGTGATTTTGCACACTGGTAACTTTTACTACTCGCTGCTTGGTAAAAAGAGGGAGAAAAATACAATAGAATAAATAAGG